AGACCCGGATTAGCCGAGGATAGCGACGAGAGGGAGAGCAGGTAGCTTCTCACCTCTACGGGTTGAGGACAGGTGGGCGTAGGAGACGAGGAAATAACGACGCCGAGAATGAAAGTTATATGCAGATAGAGGGTCCTGTAAGAGAATTAATTCAAATGTCGACAGATGAGTTTATTATCGAACCAACCAAGGACAGTACGCTCGCGGAAGTAGTAGTAGTTGTAGTTGTAGTAGTAGTAGTAGTAGTTGTAGTTGTAGTTGTAGTAGTAGTAGTAGTTGTAGTAGTTGTAGTTGTAGTTGTAGTTGTAGTTGTAGTAGTAGTAGTAGTAGTTGTAGTTGTAGTTGTAGTTGTAGTTGTATTATTTTTGCCGAGGAGGGGGAAATGCGTTTCGCATACCGGTAAGTCCGGCTACGTCGGAATCTTCAGCGTGGCATACAGACTAAAACCTAACCTCGTTTCTCATGGGCCGTGGTATCTTCTGCGCGGGACCGTCATTGAGACATTACTTCACGCAGAAGATTGGCTGAGAGCATGAGCTTTCCCCTTCAGGTGGTCGCCATGGTATTTTAGTTCTCTCTGCATTTAGACATTTAGTAGTGGCTTTCTGTTTTAGTACGTGAGCTACGAAGTCTCGCACTGTTTTTCAGTTGTCTTTGGATTGCAGCATAGTCTGGGCTGTGTTTGCAGGCGTTAATTCCCGTCGCAGTTTGCGGTAGCAGTCTCTTCTTTCTTCCTCCCAAGCTTTGCAACTATATATGGTGTGTATAGCGTCGTCGTCTTCTTCATGACATAGTGGGCATATCGGGCTTTCAGCGATTTTAAATCTGTATGGATGTGCTTGAAAGTTACCATGCCCTGAGAAGGCTTGCGTTAAGTAAAAGTATTGTGCCATGGTTCCTGCTGGTCCAATCCTTGATATTAGGGGCGAGGCTGTGTGTCCATCTACCTTTGCACTCCAGGTCCCATCAGTTTTGCCATTGGTGCAGGAGATGGTTTCGCAATTCCGCTTTGATATTGTCTTTTTGACAGGTTTTGTTGTTTGTCTGCTGTCGTCCTCAGGTACATTGTTCTCCTTTTCTGGGCTAAAAGGTCCACTGGGGGCCTCTGGCCAGTACTAAGGCTGCACTGCCGGATACCGTGCGATATCCTGAGATAATCCTTAGAGCCATCCTTCTCTGGATCTGTGAAAATTTCCGTCGAATAGTCTCTTTAGTTAGCGCATCTGCCTACACTGGGACGGCATACAGCATTTTTGAGAGAACTACGGCAGAAATGAATCTCCTTTTCACTGGGACCTGAGTGCAGCATTATTCTGGAGAGATTTGATTCAGTCCTTGCAGCTTTTCCTGATGATTTTATAATATGGGGTCCGAAGTTCAATCGTGAATCAATTTCCACCCCAAGGTATGTAAAATGCCGTTTCCTTTCAGTAAGTTCCTCCTCCAGTCGAATCACCGGGGGACGGAATGCTCTGCAGTTTGTAATCAACACGGCCTCCGTCTTGTCAACAGCCATCTGGAGGTTTCTTCGGTCCAACCATCTTTTAACCCTGCGTAGTTTTTCGTTGGTCTTCATTTCCAGTAGTTCCGTGTTGTCAGTATGGCATATAATCAGTGTGTCGTCGGCGTAGCCTATGAGTCTGGAGTTCTTTGGGTGTTCGATATTCACCAGGTCTTCATATAGGGTATTCCACAGGAAGGGGTCCAATCTTGATCCCTGTGGAAACCGCAGGTCATGTCTTCTTCAATCCTATACCCGTTAGTATAAATATTTTCCTCACTAAAGTAGTCCTCCAGGATCCTCACAAGGTATTCAGGAATCTTCCTAGCTACTAGGGCTCGTATAATGTCTTTCCAGCTGGCAGAATTAAAGGCATTTTTGATGACAAACGCAACCAAACCAACCAACCTAAACTCTTATTCATTTTTGCTGTTTTTGCATGGTGGACTACTTCTGAGATCGCGTCTATCGTCGAGAGTCCCTTTCTAAATCCAAATTGCCTCGTTAAAAATTGGTCATGACTCTTCAGTCGTTGAAGGAGCAAATCCTCCAGTAATTTGCTCATCGTATTCAGCAGGCACAAAGGTCTGAACGATGACGTCCGATCGATTGGCTTTGTTACCTTTCCGCATGAGAATTAGCTTCTGATGTTTTCAACCCTTATAGAATTTCCCTTGTTCAAGACCCGGGTTAAAGGCTTTCAAAAGGCATTCTGGGTATTCTTGTACAACTATTCCCAGGATTGCGATCTGAATTCCGTCATGTCCCGGTGCAGTTCCAATCTTGGTCTTCTTCATCGTCTGGACTAGTTCGTCCTTCGTGAAGCGGTTGGCTTCGTCGAAGAGGTAGTCAGGTCTGCTCCTTACCCAGCATTCTCTGCTAGGGAAAAGGTCTTGGATAATTGCCTTCACCCATTTGGGGTCTTCTATCCCCGCGGTTGTTGAAGGTTTAAATTTACCCATAATAATATTGTAGGCTCTTCCCCAGGGCTCGGTATTCACATCGTTTAATAGGGCCTTCCAGCATTTTGTTTTGTTTCTTTTAACCTCCGATTTTAGTCTTTTGCGGGACGTCTTGTAATTTTTCCTCAGCAGAATGTCCGTTTTAGCTCTTGTTGCAAGTCTTCTAGCTTTAACACATGCTTGACGAAGCTCTGGAATAGTCGCTGTCCACTAATACACCTGCTTTTCCCCCTTTGGGCTCCTACGTCTAGGAATTGAGATGTCACACGTATTTTTAACGGTTTTGCACGTTTCCCGTACTACCTCTTCGAGGGACTCTGCACTTTTCCTATTACTCCACCCCATGGACTCCATTAATTTTGCGTCGTCAAGGAATTTTATGGCATCTGCTTCCAAGATGGAACGATGTTTGGCTGATTCCTTCTTCTAGCTCTGTTTACAGCGGATGAAGTGGAGAATTCAATGTAGCGGTGATCGCTAAGTGTTTCAGTGTCGACAACCTGCCAATCCAGGACATTCTTGGCAATCCTTGTGGTTCCTATTGTTAAGTTTATTATCGAAGAAGCTGCACCCCTTTGAAATGTACATGAGCTGTGTGTAGAAGTACCAGGTCCTTCCTAGCCAGGAAACAATATCGCCTCTGCAATCAGTTCTGCTTTCACCCCATTCCGGGTACTTGCTGTTAAAGTCTCCAGCCACTATTATTTCACCTGGGAATGAGTTCATGCTTGCCTCCAATTCATCGATTTGCTTCTTAAATTTTTTCTATTCTGTCGTTTGGGGAGAAATAGCAACTATATATTCTAAGGCTGTCCATTTCTACCCATACAAAACCTTGGTTTGAAACTTTAAATTTAGAGACTTATTTTGGGGTTAAGTATTATAATTACTGCACGTCTGGTCGTGTCTTGGTAGAGGGATATGTGGTCAATATCGTGCTGCTCACTGACCAGTAAGACATCCACTGTCTTTCCCTTGCCATTTGAATGAGAAGATCGTGGGAGGTCTATCCTTTGTCTAAATTCATTTGAAGGAACCTAGGCATTCTTTGTTTTACCGAGTTTCTTTAGTTCTGCAGTGAAGGAAGGGCATTTATAGCTACCCAGCTTATGATTGTCTTCTAGGTTGTGGTCTTTGCAGACAATGCATTGAACTTGCCCTCTGCAGTCCTTGGCCAAGTGTCCTTTTTTGCCACACTTGTAGCATACTTCACTTCTGTCGGGGCCCTTGCAAGAGATGGAGATACATTTAAACCATCTACTGAGCTGGTGCTTCTCCTAACGTGGCAAGTCTCTACTTTGAGTAGGATTTCCACCTGGCGCGAAGGGAGCAGTGCAGTCGCTACCTGTCTGCCTCCGTACACCTTGTACAGTCTCCAGGTCGCCGGGGGGAAGTCCCCCGTAATGCGTGTAACAGCATCTCTTACCTCATCTAGGGTAACAGACTCATCTATATTCCTTAATTCAATTAAGGTTTTGGGGTTAAACGTATTGATATTTACTCTGTCTCCTATTGCACGAATGATTGCTTCGTTTAGGGAAGTGGGGTCACAAACTTTCTCCAGGACTATTCATTTTTACGTGTCCTCCTGATCGTCTGGATATTAGCGTTGTGTTGCTTCGGGTCAACAACTTCTCGTTTATCTGTTTGCCGAGTTTGGTATTCTCGGTCTTTTTGTCATTCTCTATGGGGATTATTTTCTCATGCATCCCCTTTTGGTCTTCTTTAATGTTTTCCCACCTGTTCTTTAGGGCATTCACCTCTTCTAGAGCTATAGCCAAGGTGTCCTCCACTATAACTGGGTTGTTTTTCAGGATGTTGCTGCTGCTGATAATTAATTGACTCTGTAAAGGGGCAATAATCGCCGAATTGTCTTCCATCAACTTTTCAGTCATCACCCAGTTATTTGATGTCCTGCCCCTCGCATTAGCCGACGTGGGCTCTTCTTGAACCAGGTTTACCTTGTCTCCTGTGGGTACACCAGTTGTCGTGGGGATACTTGGAAGTGATCTCCGCAGTTTTGACTTCCCAGAAAAGGGGTTAAAACCTACTTTATCTATGATTTCGCTTTTCGCAGTATAGTATTTCAGAGACGCCAAGCGGTCCACGACTCTGAGATTGCGGTCGCTGGTTGACGACCTCCGGGGGGCCTGCTTGCCTACCCCCAGCTGCCGGTACTGGGGCTCCGATCCCCTGCACCGTAACGGTTGATCCTGAGGGACCTTCCATCGTGGGTTACTTTTCGGGGTCACTTTCCCCAAGCGTTTTAACGCTGCCCCCAGCATCTGGATTTGGTTTACGGGTGGTATTTTATTTCCCACCTACCCTCCGGCGAGGCCGGTAAGAGCATTCCCCGATCCGCCACCAAGGGACGCGTCTCATAGGAGACCAGCTACTCCCACGGATATTATTATTGCTATTATTATTATTATTATTATTATTATTATTATTATTATTATTATTATTATTATTATTATTATTGTATCATATTATTACAAGCTCACGTTACAAATTATGTGATTTATTTTGTCTGCAGTATTGAACCTACTATTTTAAAAAGAATACTACAACCTTGGCTCTACCCTGATGTTGTATTCAGTTTAACTGAATTAGGGAAGCAGCTAAAGACACTTTTAAAAATCATGCTTGAAACTTCAGAGAAGGTACGTAAATTAAGTATTTACACTCAGTGTCGGTATGTAACATGATACTTTATATTTCACAAATTTTCATTGTAGATAATACAACGTAAAAAGAGCGAGTTTATGATCAAGGAGAAGGAAAGTGAAAACGGTGGACATGAAAATGGAATTGGTAAGTGAAAATTAAATATCTACACTGTTGCAATGATAGTTCTATAACGACTTGATAGAGTACTATCTTATGAATGGATGTATTTATATGTGCATGTAAGAATGGATGGAAATGTGAATAGATGGATGTATTTATGTATATATGTAGGAATGGATGGTTGGATTTATGTAAATATGTATGCAGGAATGGATGGATGGATGGATAAACGGGAGGAAAAAAGGTTGGTATGGTGGATGAAAGCGTTGACTTTGCAATCTGCTTTTAATTAAATGTAAATATTAATGCCAAAGAAAATGAACGTATAATTTATTTACCCGATTATTATGAATACTAAATTAAAGAACCTGAGTTAAGATCGTTACCGTTGCCTCTGTTGCAACTCTACTCAGATCCTAATGTTCGAGTTGACAAAATATAGACGCTGGCTAAAAAACTAGCCGTTCAGCCGTTCTAAAATTCAGCCGTTCTCTGGGGAAGAATGCTAATGGCCGGGTGCTCTGATCAAAATTTCACACATGACTTAGATTTGTCGACCAGTTTCTAATGAAGCCAATGAATTTTAGTTTGAAAAGCTTCAACAATTTGGCGCTGAATTAATCTTTTATAATTTATTTAAAATCTATTTTAAATTGTGGTCTTTAATTAAGTTAATGTGAAAACAAATAGAGGAGTTCGCTTCGCATAATAATATAATGAAGAGAAATGCGCGTAATTTGGATGTATCCAACAATGTATTTAATTATGATATTTTTGTATCCATTTTCAAAATTATCTTAAAACTGGTTTTAAATTTTTCTCTCTAAATTCCTGGTAAGAATGAAGTGCAATACACTTAAAAAGGCGACATAAGTCCAATTTTTACTGTTAATTCTAATTTTTTTGAAATCCTAAGTTTGAATTTTTTCGACATCGACTACAAGCACATAGTTAAAAGTAAACCTTTTTCCTTCCTAGAAAATTTGATCCTCATACTTAGATCAATCATCAAGATCAAGTAGATTTTTTGAAAGTGTTGGTAGTTTTTGCGCAATATTGAGTGCAATATTAAAAAAATTCGAACACAAGAATTTCTCAAAAAGGGTTGCTAATTGTTTCTATTAACTTTAATAGGGATAGAGCTCAATGTTCAGTACATGATGACAGAAAGTCCATTTTGCTCTATTCCTTTGTTTTTTCAAAAATTCCGAAATTGTAATATTTTACTGAATTAATAATTACCTTGGGGGTGATTTGTATGTATTATTGCATTTATGAGAACATGTGCTTCAAATGACAAAAACAAAAGTTGTCTGTTAGTTTTTTTATTGCATAATGCTAAATAGACTGAGTAATATGACATGCATTCCACTTCTTGTAATCTTTGCTTTTTTAAAAAATACTGGAATTTTTAAAAAATATTTCAAACCGTTGATATTTTCCTTACCAGCAATTTATACACATTATTGTATTTGTTTGTACCACTGCTTCAAATAGTTTCTGATTAAATTACCCGAAAACTCAAAAGTATTGAATGACAATGAGCTACAAGTTGCGCATTTTCAGAAATACTTAAAGGACATTATCTCTAAAACAGTTTCAAACATTTCAACGAAAATTGCTACATAGGACGAGGTTTTACTCTTCTATAATATTATTAAAATCATTCCATTACGATACCGAAAAATTGAGAAATATGAATAATTATACTTTCGGTGGCGATAGATGGCAGCGGGAAAGAGGGTGAGACAAAACCGAATAGCTAGTACAAACCAAAGGAATTAGAAAAGTAAACAATATCACAAAGTCTGTGCCATTATGTAACACGACTAGTTTCGACTCTTGGGCTGTAATACAAAAAATTATAATTATTTTCCTGAATTTAAATCACCTAGACTTCCCGATTTTCTCTCCTGGCGAGTTCCTGGCCTTCCAAGATTTTTTGCATGCCGATGCGCTGGCTCTGAATGATGACACTGTAGAGCCTCTGACTGGGAGGTCCGACCGTGGTATGATTTCGGGTCTATCTAGCGGAGACGCTTGGAGGAGAAAGAGGAGGGGAAGAATATCTGAAGTGTTCAGACGGTCAGAGAGAAAGGTTGAGGCACGCTAGTCGTGCAGAACACAGGATAATGAGAGTTCCGGTCGCCGAGTAAGGCAGGTCGCTGTAGATGATTACAGAGATCATTGAGTTAAGTGAATCGCGTTCTTTTTCATTATAAACGTATTTTTGGAACTTGCGATTCTGTTTACTTAATTTGAAACGGAATCCTGCCAACCGAAGTTCGGGGTGTATTGCAGTGTTGAGTGTTTCACGGACACAATCATAATAGTCAGGTGTTGTTCTCGATATGTAGCAAATGAACTCCCTTGAACTATTCACAAGCTGCTCCGTCAACTAAAGACCGATCGCGGAAATGACGAACATCGCAGAGACTCATGACGTGGACTTGAGCCGACCGCTAACCAAGCCTGCCGTTGCTCCCCGCCTGGGAGCACACCGGGGCCCGGCCGGGCTCTTGCCCAGGAAGTCAGCTCAGGAAGGCCCATGACCGACGATGGAGCGAGTCACCAGACAAGAAAATGGAGACGTTTGCCAACAAGAAACCACGCAAAGGTTTATTACAATAGATCTTCAAACTACTTAGAACTACAAATAATTTTTATTACTTATGAATGCAATCTGGAAGGCAAAAATTCACATTTAGCTCGGCATTACTGCGCTTTGGCTTTCTAACTTCTTTAGATTGTAATCTAATAGCATAATCCCAAAATTTATTCTTGTGACAAACCTAACGAAGTCATTCAATTTTATCTTTTGTAACTTCTATTAATTCGATTAAAAGAGTTCAAAGTTCCAGAAAAATTCTGCATTAAATCTCTTTTTTAATTTTTTTAATTGCACGCAATATTGCGCGAAAAAAACTTTCGAAAAATTTCATTTTAACTTAATGAAAGAACGCACTATTGAGAACAAATTCTATTTAAAATAAATATCTGTATCTCTAATTTAGTAATTGAAGGAAACCCCGCAAAAATTCCAACTTTTGAAATTAACGAAAATTCAGAGATAACCGTGAACATCGGACCTATGCCACGTTTACAGGTGTATTTTACTGCATTTTAGTAAGAAGTATAAAAAAAGTTTATGGCATTTTTCAAAAAGTTTTGAAAATGCCCCAGTGGCATCATGTAAAGTATCCCCAAAAGTAATGAATGATTTTCAAAATCTCAGAGTTTTGACTCATACCAAATGGAGAGGGATTTCTCCAATTTGGAAAAATCCTGCGCATGTTTTAGGCGCTAGTGTTGTTCACATACACCAGACAGACGGACGGACATTTTGAAACAAACACTTTCAGTATCAAGGGACCCCAAAATGTTTATTTCCGCTGAAATCTAGAAATCTATTTTCCGCAGCATTACATAACTTTCCTTATACTTAGTATATTGCTCCGTATATACGTATGTATACGGGATAGTAAAAATACGCGTCTATGCGCTTCTCTGTTAGCAGCACTTTTCTGTTTTCCCTCTTGACCGATGGCATGTGATTATTCCATTCACAACATTCGGCGTTTTGAAGGAACGTTTTGTATGCGCACCGTGCGTCCGTGTCGTGCGAGCGCGTGCACGCGGTACTCACCTGGCACCCACCTCTCACACGGCGCCACGCACGATGATGAGCCAACAGCGTGGACCGTACCGTTGGCTATAGACGGGCACAGCACACACACATATCGGCCTCCGGTAGCTCACGCGATGTAGCCAGAGGGCGAATGAAATAAAGAGCTGGAGGACCACCTCGCACGAGGAAATGAAGGATCGGCCGAATGATGAATGACAAAGCGGATAGCTTAAATATTACTTTAATTAATAATGCCTCTTGGATTAATAAAATGTAAACTTACAATCTAAAAAATAACATAAAAAAGAGAATTATAAATCTACAATACACAAATGCGTGCCGAGCCCAAGCGGTGAAATTCTATGAAAAACTAAATATAAAACTTAAAGAGTAATTTACAGACGATAATTGTAAAATTAACTGATGCAATTAAAATGGCAAAATCCAATCAATGATTCTTGATACTGATTACAACTGTTCAATTCAAATAACGCTAATTAATGTTCTATTTCTTAATGTGAGCTTGAGCAGCTTGGCTCGGCACTTCGGAGGCAGAAACAGGTACCTGCTAATGAAGATGTTGAGTTTACCCCAATTGTCGCCGGGGCATGGTACTCACTGCGCGGAGGTCGCTGAGCACGCACAGTGCGCCTCTGAGCGAACGCAGCAAGCTCCCCGGACACGACGACCAGACAGTGCGCGCTGCCGTGGTCCAATTCATATGATGTGGGCACCTCAGCCCTAAGTGAATGCCGAGATGGGAAGCCCTAGCCCTGACTATTGGCGATGTGGGCAGCCTGTGGCTCTGAATGCTCTGCTACGTCATGTCTACTCTGCTCTTGTCTTCACATGTCTAAATCTAAATCTGCCGGGGCGCGGTGGTGCACACAAATATATAGAACCAGCCCCTCCCTGCCGCGGGGGTGGCTACCGCGAGGCGTAGCAGCGGGGGCTGGTATAAAGTGGAGGGGGTTCTCTGGGCCACCGTGGCTGCCGAAGCCTCTTATGGTCCCTTCCCACGTCGCGACGGCGGTGCGCTTCCGAGCGGCTCGTAGCAGAGCATTGGTTTGAATGGAGACCTTCCCACGTGCATCGGGCCTGCGCTGCTGCGGCAAGCGGCGGAGAACTCTCGCTACGCGAAGCGGAGGAGTGCGTACATCGACATCGCCGGAGGGTCGGCGAAACCTACCCCTGCAGGACCCACCCCCTTCGTCAGCGGGCGGCGGTGCGGCCGTGGCTGCAGCGGTGGTGGCGTCGGAAGGGCTCTGCTGCTTGACGGAAGCGCGCCGCCGTCGCGTCGTGCTGTTTCTGTGAAAATTGTTGTTTTTTTTAAAGATCTTTTCTTCGTTTCAATTTGTCGCCGAAAAATATCAAAAAATTTTTTTGGTACTATAAATCATTGTCTTATTTAACTTTACCGTATACATACGTGTATACCAACGAGCTACAATATGTACTACATAGAGTGGCTGAAGCGCCTCCATCTTTGAAGCAAACTGAAGCCATGTTTTTTAAGTCAAAGCAGCGCTCTCCGGCAAGCAAAGTACTGTAGCATTACGTTTGACGCTGGTTACGGACAGTTACATCGCCACTCGTATATTTTGACTTCAGAAA